GAGAGAAAGAGAGAGAGAGAGAGAGAGAGATAAGGGAGAGGGAGAGAGAGGGGCTGGCGGTGTCTCTGACTGTTTCCACGGCACCAACGCAGGCCTAGTGACTCTGCAGGAAGGAGCGGCTGCTGTCGCGGTGCAAGGGCTGCTGGCGCGCGTGGTACTGCAGCGACATCTGCCGTGACCTCGGGGAGAGTCAGCACCGCCACGAGTGTCAGCTGTTCCGGGACAGGCCCGACTACAGGCCCAGGGACTTCGCCAGGTTCCTCGCCAGGCTCATCCGGAAGCTCAAGGTCAGCTTGGAATTCCATTATATAATAGGTAGACAGAAAAAGCTGTTTCTCTCTCATTCTAGATTTGTAGACAATAAAGTGCAGGCGCTCTATATGGGCTCCAGACGCGGGCCCCACGGCGCCTGTTGCTGGTCCTGCTGTTACAAATTGATAATGCCCCCCCCCCCCGTGAACCCAACAGGAGGTGGGCATTTGTCTCCTTATGTCTGCAAACACTGAGTAACGCTTACGACACACTCTCAACCCATAGTTGCCAACTGACCCGACAGGAACTAGATGGGGCAGATATTTCGTTCGTTTTGAGACAGGAGAAGGGGTGGAGCCTCCATCTAATATGCAAAAATATATGAAATTAGTTAAAAAGAAATCGGAACTAGTGAACTACATTCCACCCTGACCCATCACTTGGCCACTTTGATATGTGCTGTCCGCCCACACAGGTTGAACAGCCCTGGAGTAATGTTGAGATCAGGGATGACTTTACAGAGGTTAAAGTTACAGAGGTTAAAGTATCGAAAGTTCATTCAAACTTGCTTTAAGACAGTACAAAATGCAGTATATAAGATGCAGTGCCATCCATCGCTTTCTGTTGTTATGAAGCAATATGATGCTGCGAAAGGGTTGTCTCCCTGCCTCACGTTCCGTTCTTCCGCCGCTCACAGGACGGGGGCGAGGACGTCGTCGAACGAATTGATGCTCGCAGAAGCCGGCGCTTCAGGGACCTGATGAGCCGTAAGTGCCGCTCGATGAATGCCAAAAACCTTGCCAGTGTCTGTGTTCAAAGGAGCTTTAGGGAATGAGTAACGATCATGGGGCCCAGGAGACAGGGGTTCCCGGCAGGACCCAGGGAGCCAGCCCAGTAACCCCGTGTGTTCCCGCAGACAGCAAGGAGATCGAGAAGGACCAAAAGCGGCTTGATTATCTGGCGGAGATGATGCCGGACCTGCAGGTGCTCCTCGGGAAGTCCAATATCCCCGACCGCGAGGAACTCATTCAGATCTTCGGGAAGGTAAGTCAACATGCGCCGCCGACGGAGCCGCTCCTGCGCCCCTCTGACGCCGCCGGCGATTGGTCTTCTTTTCTCCCGCTCTCTTGCTCTCCCCTTCCCTTGTGCACTCACCATGTTGCATGCATATTCATAACTGTTTATATGTTCATATATGTATATCTATCTATCTACCCATCTCTCTCTCTCTCTCTCT